ATCCACACTGTCCAGACACCTCTGGTTTCCGAGGTGCAGTCGTTTTGGAGTATCCTGTATCTTCTTGGGGAACTCGACCTACCTAGTGTGGATGAGATGGCGAGGGAGGTCTCGTTGTGGAATGCCTGGACTCGGAAGAGGTATCTTACGCAGGGGCATAAGTTTCCCTACTCTCTGTATGAGTTTCTCCCGGTAAGTACTCCTTCAAAATTTGTATAGTGCTCGGTAGGAAGTATTAATTATGCTGTAGTACGTTGACACTCTCTTTGATGACCTGGGGTTGAACAGCCGTCGCAAGACCAATCCAGTGGCTGAGCTCCTGGAGCCTTACAAGCCGGAGGATTTCAATGGGTTTATTGATGAATACCTGGCAAGACATGGTGGCATAAAATCCCGTTCTGCAAATGGACGTAAAGCTTAGTCTGTAACAGGGCAAAAGATAGGTTCTGTAGCCAGCGAACTTGACTATCATACTATGTATATATCCATATGTCTCGGCCTGTAAAGATGGAGTTTTACACACCCAGGGGCATGAGGACCTTAAAGCCTGGTACAAGCTTGTAGTTATCTGTTCATATTATTCCGCATCGCTCATTGCTTGCATTTGAGACTAGCCGTTTAAGTGACTAACTCATATTCTCTATACTAAACTATGAGTCTATGATAGTTGTGCTTCTATCCGACATGTAATTCAACATGTGCCACAACCTCATAACAGACACTGCAATCCAAGCCGTCACCATAAATGCAGTAAACGCAATTGTTTTCGAGAAATATATATTCATGCTTCCCTATATATTCATGCTTCCCACTAAATTCTTCAAGGCCACGCCTCATAGTTTACTACCGCGCCTTAATACCACGAGATTTCTTGGATGCAGCTTCATGTCAGGTATTACTACATGCTGAAGCGAATAACTTAGCTATACAACGGGCAATGGTAGTTGGAGATAAACTATTTATAACCTCAAGTTGAGATCAAGAGACGTTCTTTTGCCATGTAACCTCTCGGTAGATTCGGGCCGAAGCTGCAATGGCCACTGCATGGAGTTAACACATGCAAACCGTGTTTTAATACTCAGATCAAGTGCTTGTACCTCGCCTTTGCTCCGAGTTAAGGAATAACCAAAGGGAACCAGTAGCCGTCGAGATATGGGCTAATATGCGTATTTCATCACCACTGAATAAGACCGTGCTCGGGATTCTATTTCTTTCGGACCGAGTTCTGACCGAGTCCATATTCTACTTCCAGACATATCATCGCTTTCATTGGTGACGATTAAGATCCATACCGTCTCGGCCCGAAGTTGTCTCGTCTTTGGCAAAAACCTCATCCCTGTACTGCCTATGCCTAGATTGTCACTGGAAACGTGACTCAAAATATGCTCTGGCGACAAATAAGCCCCTGTCTGCCCTGGGAGTCTGTCCCATTACAGGGTCAGCGGGCAGAAGGCAAACACACGACTGCGAGATGATATCCAGCTTCCGTGTCATCATTGTAGGCGGCGGCGTGGCCGGGCTTACAGCTTCCCATGCTCTCCAGAAGGCAGGAATTGATCACATTGTGCTTGAAAGATCAAAAGAAGTGGCTCCCCCAGTTGGGGCCAGTATTGCCATCTACCCGCACGGAGCACGCATTTTATCCCAGATTGGGTGCCTCGAGGCCGCGAAGGCAGCCTGTCGCCCCTGCGAGCGGTTCATTACCAGGGGACCAGATGGAAAGGTGTGGATCAATAGTGACTTCTTTGGGAATGTTCAAGCCAAGTATGTTATTCCTTCTGTTTAAATTCAGGGAGTATACCTCGACATAGTGATGCTGAAACGCTTGACAGCCATGGACAGGACATTCTCCTCCTCGAACGGAGGGAGTTCCTGCAAATTCTGTACGATTGCCTCCCCGACAAATCTTTCATTCAACTCGGATGCAGAGTCCGTGATGTGGCTCAGGATAGCAACGGGGTCGAGGTGATGCTCGATGACGGGACCGTCGAACGAGGCGACATGGTGCTGGGCTGCGACGGTGTGCACAGCCTGGTTAAACAGAGAATGTGGGACATGGCCAACCAGAAGATCCCCCGGGTCATCACGGCGCAGGAGAAGACCTCGATGGTCACCAGGTGGAAATGTCTAGTGGGAATGGGGCCAGCAGCACCGGAACTGGGCGAAAGAGATATGACGGTGGTGCATGAGGGCAGGTATTCTTTTCTGTTCCTCACGCAGCCGGACAAGCTGTTCTTCTTCGTGTTCTTCCGGCTGGAACACGAGTTCCACTGGCCAGAGCGGAGACGATATACCGATGCAGATGCCGAGGCATTGGCGGCCAGTGTTGCTAGCCATCCCATCTGCGAGACGCTCGTGTTTGGGGAGATTTGGCAGAAACGGATCCGGGGCTCTCTCATCTCCCTCGAAGAGGGGATATTACAGCACTGGTCGCATGGACGAATCGTGTTGGCTGGTGATTCTGTCCACAAGGTCACACCAAACATCGCGCTTGGGGGAAACTCAACAATGGAATCCGTGGTGGTGTTGTGCAACCATCTTGAACGGACGTTGGCAGCTCACCATGGTGGCCGAGTTAGCCGGGCAACGCTGGGGAGGGTCTTTGACCAGTATCAGCGAGACCGGGAGAAGCGGATGCACGAGATAATGGAGCTGTCTTCGCTGATTACCAGAGTTCAGGCATGGGATGGGATCACGGCGAAGTTCCTGGCCTGTTGGGTGCTACCCTTCCAAGCCGATCACAAGCTGACAGATCAATTGGGCGAACTGATCAGAAAGGCACCGAAGTTGGATTATGTCGAAGTTGATCGGGAATTTGGACGGGGTCGGCTGGCGTGGGAGGACGAGAAGGACAGTCGTTCCCTTGACAAAGGAAAGAAGATGGCTTTTGTCAGCAGGTTGACAGTGTATCTGGCAGGATGTTTGACGGCATTGGTCTTGGCTTATAGTCTGTCTATTTAGTTATATATTTTACCAAAAAGCACAAGGCAAGGTACCCAATTCTGATATAGCTTGAGCATACTGTAGTAGTAAAGTCCAAGCCACAAAGCCTTAGCCTTACGGTTATTATATAGCTCCGCTAGAACAAATACCCACAGAAGAGGTCAGACTAGAAGCAGGGCCTACGTCTCGACTCAATCAATTTCTTATTCAAGGTCGATCTCGTCTAGATCACTAGTAGGGAAACTCCTGCCCAACCAGCTTCTCACTCAGTCTCCACAGTCTTTCGGCTTCAAAACTGCTGGTGGCCCATGGTTTGACCGTATCGACCAGAGGGTCGGCCACATGGCAGTCGAGCAGGTAAGCCCCGTTGTTGGCTACCCAACCGTCAGTCCCTGTAACACGATGCAACCCTTACAGGAGACATACCTTGGAGACTTGGATCAAACGCTGCGTAGATATGGGTGGCGGCACCTCTCTCCAGTGGTTTGGCATCAAAATCCTTCCATCCTTCCCGATTCCCCAGGGATTTGTCTGCGTTGCCTAGCGAGAGTCAGTACAAGGCTAATCTGTGTGAGAAATCAGTAGGTTCCCGTCTTACGTAGTTCCCCAAATTCAATGTTCCAGTCCAAATGATTGCCCAGATTGGTCCAGATGACCCCTGGGTGGAGGCTGAATGCCTGGAGATTATATTTCATTCCAAGTTTCTGTGCCAGAGAAATGGCAAACAGCATATTGGCGGTCTTGCTCTGACCATAGGCGTACCACCGGTTGTACGTCTTCCCATCCTGTGTCGTCTTTGTTAGTGTTCCAGACTTTCGTAGGTGTATCTGGCAGCCATCGAACGACCTACATCAAAATTATAGTCATCGAACCGGAACGGGTTCAACCGATGGCCATCGCTACTGACAACAACGATTCTTGGTTCCTTTGCGGCCACAATCTTCTTCATGATCAGATTGGTGAACAAAAACGGCCCCAGATGGTTCGTTGCCAGATGGGACTCGAATCCGTCAGGGGAGAGCTGGTAATCCACTGCCATGATTCCCGCGTTGTTGACAAGGACATCAATAACAGGAATATCATCCCAGGAGTTGACCTGTGCGGCTGCATCCCGCACGCTTTTCAAGGAGCCCAAGTCAACTTGCAGTGTGCGGACCTTCACATCAGGCTGGGCCTTAGTGATCTCTGCTGCCATCTGGGCAAGTTTATCGGCATTGCGAGCAGCCAGGATAAGCCACTCAGGCTTGGCCTTGGCAATGGATTGGACGAAGAAGCCACCAAGCGAGCCTGAGGAAACGCCCGTGGTCAGAATGACCTTACCTTTAATAAGCGGGGCATAATCAGTCACGAGTTCGTCCGTAGTAGTATGAGTACTGTAGGGGGCCGGCATGATGATGATAATAATGAGTATGACAGTAGATACGATGCAAAAAGGATAATTGCAAGGGCTGAGGGTCTGGTTGAGCTATTCAAGGGGAGCAGTATATATGGTTGCAGATTCTTTGTCCCGGATGAAAATGCGTACAGATATCAGGACCAATACCCAGAGATTCCAGACCGCTGTTACGTCTCAATGCCTCTCAGGATGAGTAAGAGGGTGATGTATGTGGCGCCTCCGTTGTGCTTAGCTACTGCATGACTAGGGCGCTATTTTAGTCTCGGTGAGGATTCCCCGACGATCCATGCTTCCAGGATGTAGAAACCTTGGGAGAAGGAAGCTTCTAGTACTTGTTGACAGAAATGCATGGTCACTTCATTCGTCTTGCACGAGTCATGTCGCGGGAGCCTTCTGAGGTATTTCCGCAATAGGTTAGCCAGCATCCTTTAGCACCTGCCGATAGAGAATCATCGAGAATATTAAAGGGAATTGCCTATTAGCAGCCTATCATCTTATTGTACATGCTCTGGCTACATTCTATTATTGCAAAATGACCTGCCCATCCGGTCTAGAATACCGTGCTTTCCACCTGCAGCCCATCAGGTCACACATCCACCTCGGCCCGGATGGCCCGAACCTATTGTCGTAGCCTCTCCACTGCTCCTTCAGGAACCCCCACTTACTCTTCTTTCTGGCTTACTTCTGCTGATGGCATCAACACTTCATCTCGGATCCAGTTGAGGCCCAGGCACACGCTCCCTGGTCCTGCGATCATTGCCCCACCAACAATCCCCAACAGGACCTTTGGCCATGGCCATTGTCGATACCAGTCTCGGGCAATCAGGACAGTCCGTAGCTGTAACCAAGCAACTAGGATACCCAAAGTATATCCAAAGACTTGATCCCAGAGGAAGAAACTGTGCACTCCGTCCCCAACTGTCTGCGTCGCGGTAACAGAGACCGGGGGGATCAGCAGCGAAACCGGGTGGAACTCATGGATAGTCTCTGGTGTCCAGAGGTTCGGGAACAGAATCGTGGTGAAGCTGATACTCATAAGACTCACATGCACGGCAAAACTGATCAAGAGAGATGTCGCGTTCAGAATGCGGATTGCCCTCCTAGTAGCATCTTCCTTATTGACCGTGCCAGCAGGTAGGAGAGCGTGAAGGACCTGCATGGTCAGATAGACAAGGACCGGGAAGATGTTCCACGCCACCAGTGCCAATTGCTGAAAGTCATTGGACACAAGTCCAGGGGAGGGGAGCGCCATAGCTACCGCGGGAAGAAGAAAACCCAGAACCAGGCTAGGAAGAATCAGTATAATTTGGCGGGCCGGGGCCCTAGATTTGTTGCGCAGATCCTCCAATGAAATGTCATTTGTAATCAAAGGACTGTTAGCAAGGTACCAGAGAGCCCAAAACGGGCCCGTACAGGCGATAGCCGACAGTTGGAACAGCAGTATCCACAGCATCGTCCTGAGTTGGCATCCAAGTGTCAGCAGGATCAAGCATCAGAAAGACAGAAACGCGCCGAAAAGAAGAGAAGAACCCACCGAGCAGGAGTCGTCTTCCCGGATTGGCCCAGTCTCAGGCTATCCACATATACCCCTGTCAGCACGCTAAAATACTGCGCCAAGAAGTAAATGCCGACGGCTGAAGTGGCCGGATGGGATCCATCCACGGCTTCCCAGAAAAAGACAATGAGTACATCCAGGAGATAATCAATTGGCCAGTAGATCCCCGTAATGCGCGTCCGGAGCGGAGACTCGGTTCCAGGCAGGAGATAGGGTTTCGATCCATGCAGAGCCGTAAGCAGATGGGACAATGACCCATCCAGGACAGTCCGGCCCCAAGTGTGGTACGTCCCCAAGACACTGAGCATGTATAGAGCCGGCTTCAGGCCGCCGAGGGTTGTTGGTGCCATGGCGATGGGGCTAGCAGGTCTCGTATGCTAGAAAATACAGGTGAGATGCTATTGCAATTGCTGCCATCATCTCAGCCCCCTCGTCTGTCCCGTATTTATGCCAACAGTCCGGCAATTCCGTCTCGGTGTACACAGCAACTCGGGCCGAACTCACCGAAATATGAAGCTCTCCACGACTCAACTGCAGCAATATATATATCCCATGATTCCATCTGTCAAGGGTAGACGCAGGTACCTGTCGCTAATTCATGCATGAGCCTGAATCGGGCGGATTTGCATATGCAACCAGACATAATGACCACTCTTCTCTACACTCTGTACTTCCTCCCCACGACCCTGGCCACCATTGGCGTGGGTCTTTCTCCCAGCGGCGTTACGCAGCTGTTCGGCAATTTATTCGGCCAGCCCGGAGTGAATGCCACCTATGACTACATTGTGGTTGGAGGGGGCACAGCGGGCAATGCAATTGCCGCACGACTAGCCCTGGACCCGGCCAATTACTCGGTGGCAGTGGTCGAGGCCGGTTCGTTCTATGAGATCCTCAACTCGAATCGTACTCAGGTTCCCGGTTATGACTTTTACTCGGCGCTGGCCAACTTTGTGGGGGGCTCTCTCGAAAGCCTCACCAATTTTGGGTTGAAGACTGCACCTCAAGGGGTACGTCAACTGTCAGAAGGGGGCTGTTGCCTGGCATACTGATGGCATGCAGGGTTACAATGGTCGCGAGATCATGTATGTTGCCGGCCAGACTTTTGGCGGAAGGTCAGTAGAGAATGGTCCCTAGACCTTGTATCACCAGAAGATGAATTGACTAGGAAACAGCTCAGCCTCGAACTACATGGGATATGCGCGAGCCACCGTGGGCACGTTCGATGAATGGTCCAAGGTCGTCGGCGATGATTTCTGGTCTTGGGACAACGTGTACCCTGCGTACAAGAAAAGTTGCAACTTCACCCGGCCCAACTATGACAAGATCGACCCGTCCTTCAACATATCCTACGATGCGTCGGCCTTTGAGAGCGGTGGAGGACCCCTGCAAGTATCGTACGGCAACTATCTCGGCCCATACGGCCCGTACCTGGAAGAATCACTCGACAAGCTCGGATTCGAGCGGATCCCAGGACTGAACAGTGGGCGGCTGATTGGTTATGCTACTATCACGGCCGCCATTGACCCCAAGGAAGCGACTCGCAGCAGCTCGGAAACCTCGTTTCTGCAGCTTGCGGCACAGAACTCGAATATCAAACTGTACCCACAAACGATGGGTTCTCGGATTCTGTTTGATGGGAACAAGCGCGCCACGGGCGTCGAAGTGCAGACAAACTCGTTGATGGCCAATTTCAAGTATCATCTCAATGCCAACAAGGAGGTCATTGTCTCCGCCGGTACCGTAAGTCATCTCTTCGGTAACATTGTTCTGTTTCTCCTAATGCTTACCTGTGCGTAGTGGCACTCTCCACAGATTCTACTGCTGTCTGGCATCGGCCCATCAGAGACTCTCCAGAAGTACAACATCCCCGTAGTGGTGGACTTGCCCGGAGTGGGTCAGGGAGCGAGGGTAGGGATTTGTCCTTGGTGACGATAGACCAGCGCTAATCATATGGGCATGCTCTAGGATCAACCCTGGATGGCCCTGTCGTACAAGGTCAATGTGACCACTGGTACTCAAGTGGCTGCAGGTAATACCGAGTTCTCTGCGGCCCGAGTGGAAGAATATCTGTACAACCAAACGGGTCTGCTCTCCAGCATTGGAGGAGGCCAAGCTCTGGCATTTGAGAAATTCCCCGAGTCCTATCGTCAAGAATTCAGCCAGTCCACCCGGGATTTCCTCAACACCTTTCCCCGAGATTGGCCCGAGGTCAACTATCTCTCCTTGGAATATGGCTCATACCCGTCCGACCTGGGCCCCGATGACAACTACCTCACCATTGGCTCGGCCCTGCTCACCACCTCTGCTCGGGGCAATCTGACCATCCAGAGCTCGGATATTGCTGATCCTCCGATCATCAGCCCCAACTGGCTTCTTGACGAGGGTGATCAGGAACAGGCCATTGCCGCTCTTCAGCGGATTCGAGAGATTGCTTTCAACAGTACGATTGTCGAGGAAGAATATCTGCCCGGGCCCAATGTGACGACTCGCTCGGAGATTCTCGAGTGGCTCAAAAACAATATGAGTCTGATCTACCACGCTACTTCGTCATGTGAGTGGTCTATACACCCATCCAAGTGGTGCAGATCCCCTAATTCACTTTTGTACAGGCAAGATGGGGGCTTCCAACGATACCACCGCAGTCGTCGACTCGCGGGCCCGTGTGCGTGGGGTGACCGGCCTGCGTGTCGTCGACGCCAGTGCTTTCCCGTTTGTGCCTCCAGGATTTCCCATGGCCACTGTCTGTATGTATTTCCAATTCACTAGGCCAAACTCTGAAGACGTGGTGACTAACGAGACCGATGCCAGACATGTTCGCGGAGAAGATTGCCGAGTCCATCCTCGATGGTCAATGATATGATAGAACATTCATAAGGTCAAGGGGCATTGTATCTGGGCCAGTGTAATAGAGAAGGGTATTTGTAGACTGTACTGGTTTGGTTTATATAGTGACTTAGTGAGTGCTATTTGGAGTTTGAATACCAGGTGTTGCCGGTCTGCAGCCACACAAGGCGTGCGGAGCAAGCAGCAGATATTCGGCTAAAGTCTTTAAATATTGATTATTTGTAGATGCTAGGTGGCCTAGTGCCCTAGTCAGGTATGGGTGGTAAATATCTAGGACTGCTTAAGGGAGAGGGCCCAAGGAAAGTTAGAAGGGTATCAATATTTACCTGGGGGGTGTAGGCCCTCTAGACACGCCCCTTTTACTGTATATTCAACTCTAGAATACTATGAATTATAGTAATTAAGAGAGTAATAATATTAATAGATAATCTGGGGGGCAGAACCCCTAGGCCCGCATATAATGGTCTACGTAGCATTGCAAATTATGAGAGCATGTGATAACAGTAACTATTAGCCGATCAGAATCTGGGAGTGGGCCAATCAGAGGATCAGAAAGCCTTGATTCTTTGACTAATCAGATTCAGCGCCAAAACAGGAAGGTAAAAGGGATGAAATAAGACAAGCTTCGCAGAACCAGGTGGCGCATAGTTTGTATCCTTCATTTAGTTCAAAAGCACATAAAGTATAGCAGAGATGTCGCATCTAGGTACTTTGATAACAGAATACCTTTAGGGTTGGAAATATACTACAGGTCGATTGGTAGCGCTTGCAGTGTGTATATGTAATGGATACTGACGGGAGCATTGCTAGCAGGGCACTGAGACGACCGGCTCCTACTCCAGCGTGAAATCAGAATCTCGCGGTAGTGGAACATAATCAGAGTGAATATACAGGACAGAGAAGGGTGGAGAAAACAGTTGAAATCACCCTTATAACTACATTGAAATCAACACATCCAACCCCCGTCCACTGGAAGCACCACACCATTGACGAAACTACTCTGGTCACTGAGCAGAAACACAACAACTGCAGCTACCTCTTCAGCGTCGCCTTTGCGGGCCAATGCTCCCGGATCTCCTGCTCCAAACAGCTCTGTCGTTCCGGCCGCTGCTTCAATCTGACTGATCATCGGCGTGGCAATGATTCCACTGAAGGGGTTTTCACGATCAGTGTTCTGTTGGAAGGCGTATTTATTCGCTCTAGAATATAAAGACATCGACTTACGGAGCAATGGCATTGACGCGGATGGCCCTCTTCCCCTCCTCCTTGGCCGCCGTCCGTGTCCATCCCACCACCGCATGTTTACTCGCCACATAAGGGCCATTGTGTTCGACTCCCATAATTCCCGCTATACTCGCCGCGTTGACAATACTGCCTCCATGGCGCCCTCTGGCGCCGGACTTCATATGCCCCAACTCCGCTCGCAGACAGTTGAACGTTCCCCGACAGTTGACGTCGAGCACAAAGTCCGCTTCCGAATCTGTCATGTTCCGTATCGCCCCGACCCCCTGCCCAATACTCTTGCCAAAGACGCCGGCGAGATTTGCAGCTCCGGATAGAGGTTGGTTGAAGTGGATGACGGTCCTCTGAATCCAGTCGTTGCAGGCCTGCGGGGATCGGACATCTAGGACGGTCGTAAGAACGGGGTCCACAGTGCTCAGCACCTCACTGGGATAGAGTTGGCGAAGTTCATCTGCAGCTTCTCGGAGCCGGGACTCATTAATGTCAGCCAGCGAGAGGAAGGCCCCCTGTTGTGCGAGAAGTCTGGCAGTTGCCAGGCCGATGCCTGAGGCAGCACCGGTGATGGCGATGACTTTTGCGGTAAGACTCGACATCATACACGCAGCAAAAGTTAATTGTGAGCCGTCCCAAGCTATTGGCGAGAAGATTATGGTATATGGACGTTCATGTATAAATAGAATCTATGCTAATCTATGTTTGTCACTACCTTTCGGGGCTCGGCCCGAATCGGCACCAGAGGGTGAAGTGTTGATGGGATTCGCCACTTAGCATTCTTCTTGGAACTACCTGCTACTAAGGAATATGTTCGTACCCCCGAACGGAGAAAACTATGACCAATGAGCATGCATCTTTCTCAAATGTTCCAGCCGCGCCTCTCTTATGGCGAGCGCCAGTGAGACTGTGCCCCCCGGCCCGATCAGCACGCTCCCCAGCGCCAATATGAGGCCCACCTTGATCGTCCAAAGCCCACAATCCTTGCCGAATGCCTGGTGGAGAATGACAAGAACCCAGGAGATACTTGACAGACTGATGATGATCAGGTCCCACTGCAGAAACAGCCAGGGCCCTCGGATCAGGATTTCGCCCGAGACGCCAGATGGTCCATACCAACCGGAGGGGACGTACATGTGCCACAGGCTGAGCTGGCGATCGGATAACGCCGTGGCCATGGTGTAAAGATGTCCAGAGACTGACGACGCCGCCGCGAGCAGGTATGCACCCCGTATCCACCAAGACGTACGGTCCTGTGGGGAAGGACCCCTCGCTTCGGTCCGCCGAAAACGGCTGAGCCCGAACACCAGCGCCAATTGAACCCATGAGACCCAGAGCGGGTCTGGTTGCCACGCCGCAAGGATGCGCTGGTGGTCAGTGGCCGACCGAGCCGCGACGCCTGTCCAGGTCGGCAGCATTCCAATGACAGCGGGGAAGAAGGCCCCGAGCAGAAACCCAACGGGGATGACTCTGGCGCCTCGCGGGTCGACAGCGCTCGTGGCGGCCTGTGGTGCTGTCAGGAGCCACGACAGATGCAGTGCATAATACAGTGGCAAGGAAATGGCGGCACCAAATCCCTGCCAGAGCAGACCGAAGACAACAGGCCTGGCATGGGGTCGTTAGTGCGGTTCCCCACAGTCGCCTAGAAATGGCTGATAGAGACACTCACTGAGCGATCCATCTGGGTTTCTCGGACTGACGGAAGCTTTCCACATACAGCCAGATAAACGCGGATTGCAACGTGGAGTAGGCATCAAGCAAGAAGAGCTGATATCCGGGGACCGAGCCGTTGGTGCCGTAGAAGAAAAAAGCCACGAGAAGGGCAATGGGTATGTCTATTAGCTGAATTCCCGTGTACCTCGTCTGTAGTGGAGTTCCGTCGGCCAACTTGGCATGATACACAGCGAGAATGAGGGCCTTGACAGTACCATTCCAGGCACTAAGACCCCAGAGGAGAAGAGTGGCCGCGAGAGCAAGACCGTGGAAGTAGAATCGAAGAAGTGGAAGATCCATCGCTTGACCGTTTGGTGCTTTGGATGTTGCACACGTTCTCTGCCGGGAAGATGCGACTGTCGATGACGGCTCTCCGTCTCTCTTCTATTGACGGTACCTAGCCCACGACTGCCAGTGCAATTGGTGGGCTCAACGGGCCGTGATGACCGTTGCATCAAGCGAGAAGTCTCACTTGCGGTCAAAACCCTCGGCCAATGTGGCCCGAAGGCTGCTTTGCAAGGGATAAGCAGGTTAGGGAGATGTTCCTTGCAGCCGATCTCGAACTGTCTCGGGGCTTTCTCTTTGTTGCAGCCACCGACGCGTACTGAAGTCCGAAAGGATCCTAATGGATTGCCTTATATCAGCCCTTCTACGTCGTATCTCGACACCATCGCCGCCAACAACGCCTTTGTGAAGGAGCATCGTTCCACTATCACTTCAACTCAGTCACTCTCACTGTTCTTGACTGCCAAATCTCCTTCCACAATGCCTCACCGCACGTATAGCCCACCAGGAGATGATCCCATGCTGGAGCCAATCGCCATCTGTGGCATGGGTGAGTCCCGTTAAGACTTGATCCTCCGTTGTCTGCGCAGTCTGACCAGTATCAGCATGCCGTTTACCAGGAGGGGTCGACTCTCCCTCCTCGTTTTGGGAGATGCTCGTCAAAAAGCAATCCGGCCAGACCTCGCGAGTTCCCGAATCCCGTTTCAATATCGATGCCTATTACCATTCCAACTTGGAGCGTCCCGGGTCCTTCAATGTGCCCGGCGGATACTTCCTGGATGGCCGTCCGGAGGACTTTGATCCCACAGCGTTCAACATGACCCCCATCGAGGCCCAATGGCTGGATCCGCAGCAACGGAAGATCCTCGAGGTCGCCTACGAATGTCTGGAAAATGCCGGACTCCCACTGGAGTCGGTGGCAGGCTCCAACACTGCTGTTTTTGTCGGATCATTCACGTCGGATTACCGTGCGTCTATCCATATCTTCCTCCTTTCATGTACTCGTCCCTTGTCTTCAACATATTGATACCTTGATAGAACAAATGTCAATCCGCGACCCGGACTTCCGCCACAACTACGCAGCCACGGGAGTCGACCCTGGCATCATCAGCAACAGGGTCGGCAACATCTTCAACCTCAAAGGCCCTAGCTTCACCATCAACACCGCCTGCTCGTCGTCCATCTATGCCATCCATAACGCCTGCAACGCCCTTCGCGCGCGCGACTGCGATGCTGCCCTGGTCGGTGGAGTCAATCTAATCATCACCGTAGACCAGCACATGAACACGGCCAAACTTGGAATACTCTCCCCCACTTCGACCTGCCACACTTTTGATGCGTCAGCGGATGGTTATGGCCGCGCTGAAGGGGCCGGTGCGTTGTACCTGAAGCGTCTCCGGGATGCAATTCGGGATGGGGATCCCGTACGAGGAGTGATTCGAGCAAGTGCAGTCAACACGTACGCATCTGTCCTCCGATTGGCCTCGGGATCTGAGATCTAACTATGTCATTCCACAGAAATGGAAAAGTCGAAGGCATGGGCATCACCCATCCCAGCGGCAAAGGGCAAGAGACTGTCGTCCGAATGGCATACGAGAAGGCCGGACTAGACCCGAATGCCACTGCCTATGCCGAACTGCATGGAACGGGAACCCCTGTAGGTGATCCCATTGAAGTCCGGGCCATTGCCAGTGCGATGAACGACACCCGGTCAACAGAGAAGCCGCTCCTCTTGGGTGCTGTATGGTTTTCCTCTTATCGACATTTACGACGGTCTGAA